CTACCTGCCTTAAAGGCGCCGCGCGCGCCCGGGAGGGCGGCGCCGAAAGGGCGCGTTTGTGCCCCAAAACCGTGAGGGTTCGCGCAGCGAGGCGCCTGCCCCTCGCTGTGCTTGTGGCCATGGTCCCGCTTTACTGAGAAAGCGGGAGAAGAGAGCACGGGAAACCCTGCCAGCTCCGAGCCGGCTGCTTCCTGGATGCTGGAGCCCGCAGGGGCTGTGCACAGAGCCCGCGCACAAACAGCGCACGGAGCACTCCTCCAGCAACATTTTCCTTTCTTTTTTTTTTTTATCATAATTATCACGATACAATGATTCATTTCACACATCAGCTGGATCACATAAAGCAAATGTATTTGCTTAGCTATTACTAGAATAAAAGGTATTGAAACACTCGTGTTTGTTTTATCTCAGGTTACCTGTCACCGAGCGGACTTTGGAACCAGGCTGTGTGTCATTTCGAAGGTCTTTTCCAACCAGACAGGCTCTACCATTTACCTGTGTAGCTACTAATACCTATAACGTGTGATAAAACCTGTCAGATTTGCTTTTGTATTTTCAGTTCTTTCCACTACAAGTGAACAGCCAGATGTAGCTCCAGTCCACATGAACACGTATTTTACACCTAATAAACAAACATACGCAGTTTGCAGCAAGGGTGCAGAAAACCCGTGAACATCAAAACCTCTGTGAAGCAGGGCACAGAGATGAGAGCACCACGGAGAAGCCCAGCATCTTGCCCAGTGATCACACAGGAAGGCTGCACCTCCATTTATCACCACTGGACACGTGTCCGCATCCGTAACATCCTGTGAGACACGTTCCTAAAAAGTTTCAAAGTTCTTTCTTTTGAATAAACGAAAGGAGATAGAACTCATTAGTTCTTTCCCCCATTTCAGAGATCCATCTACACACACCAGCCTATGTGTAAATACACTTAACTGCAGTTTTGATTTTCTATTTTAATGTGAATTCTGCCATGTGCTCTTATGCATTAATCAACACATCTTCACATTGCCTCAATCTTTAACTGCACAGAGTTGAAACTCATAACTAAGCAAAATATACATCAGTTTTAAAATTATTAACTTCAGTTCTGAGTATTAGCTACCTGGATCCAAGCTATTAGCTGTTGTTAATAAAAAGCTAACGTTTTAGTCCGCTTCCTTATAACTTCAGAGTCTTCCTCACCTCCTGTTTCTGGTGTGTACCCGAGCACTGCACCTAAGCACTGGAAGGGGAGAAGAGACTTCAGCGCGTGCACAAATGAGCTCGGAGTCAGACTCGCTTTCAGCTTTCCATGAGCGCCCTCTTGTGATATCCCACATAAAGAACAAGCTGAATAAATGCTCCATATTCCTGAGACAGTTTCGGTACAATTCCTCCTGACAGTTCAAATGCAACACAACCAGGGTGGCAGGGCGCTATAGAGAAGGGCAGCTAAAATAATTTGTGCTCAAATGAAAACAAAAGTGTTAAGTTATAGTCTAATATAGTTAATTATAGAGCCAATAATTCACACAGGTGTGTGGGGTTGCTTTGCCAAGCCACCCAGCAGATCTCGGCCAGGCCAACCGAAGCTGCAGCTGCTCGAAGCAGGACGGTCACTGTGTACTTTTCTCACGCTACTTCACCACCTGAACTCAGAACTGTAAAACAGAAGAATCAGATAAGACCTTGATTAAAAAAGAAAAAGGTGAGCTGACCAGGTACAACTAGTCAAAACCAAATACAGCAACTCATGTCGGGTACTTACCCTGAAATCTAACAAGAAAAAAAAAAAAAGAAAAGAAAATGCCCATCTAGTTTTCATAGGCCAGCTGTGGGGTATTTAGGGAGGCAGGGGCCACCCTGCCAGCCCCAAGAGTACCCAAACACCCGCACGGGGCAGCCAACATGGCACAAGGGCCCATGTGCTCCAGCAGCACTTCCCACATGAGGCTTCTCCTGCGATTGCCAGTAATAAAGGCAACAACCCCTGAGGGCTTTCCTGCCACAGCTGGTACTTCCCTGGCTAATGTGTTAGAGAAGTGCATGCAACCCCTCCTCCTCCTATTGCCTCAAGATGCACTAGGGAGGCTCAGGTTAAATATTAGGAAGAACTTCTACACAGAAAGAGTGGTCAAGCATTGGCATAAGCTGCCCAGGGAAGTGGTGGAGTAGCTCCAGTGCCTGGGGGTGCTCAAGAAATGTGGAGATGAGGCGCTTAGGGCCATGGTCTTGCTGCCATGGTGCTGCAGGGCTTACAGTTGGCCTCGATGATCCCAAAGGTCTTTCCCAACTGTAATGATTCCACGATTCTCCGGTGTCTCTACCTGCATAGGATTTGTCCCAACGGAGCCGGCTGGGCTGCCGAGTAGGCCGGGCTGCAGCCACACGGCAGCAGGACAGCCCAAAGCAGCTTTGCTCACCACGCCTCGTGCAACGCAGGCAGCCCCTATCCACGAGAGGAAACTGAGGAAAAGCCACCAGGCTGCTCCTCATCTTTACAGCCCACTGCCGCCCTCAGGAAAGAAAATAACGATAATTTTTTAAAAATACGCGCTCGGGTTCCTCGTGGCCAACAAATCGCGTTTCTTGGGCTGTCCACCCTCCTCGCACGTTGCTTCCCCACAGGGTAAAATGGCGGCCGCTCCACGTAGGGCCCACACGGGCCTCCGTAGCACGAGGGGTCGGGGGCAGCGCGCG